TTAATCAGAACCAAAATACATAAATTGCAAATTCGAATGACTTAAATTAACTAGATATAATAAAAAATTCAAATTTCCTCAGTTCAATTTTAATCACAAATATTCTTTCATAATAAAACTTTATATATAGTATTTCAATTTTATATTTAGTCTTGAAAATCTTCTAAAGTTTTAAATTTAAATCTGATTTTATTCTTATTTCAATCATGTCTGTTTTTACTGAATAAATGTGTCATATTTTAATTTTCATAAAATGATGCAGCATCATTAGTTTTTTTTTCTTCTCCTATTTATGGTGCGTTTTTTGAAACTCTTTCTGACGAATCATTTAAAATTAAAGCAATAAAATGTACCAATATTTTTAAGAGGCGAATACTTTCCTTTTAAATTAAAATAAATAACTGCTGCCGCAGTACGCGTTAATGTCTGATTAAAGTTTGCTTTATAAATTTCCGAACATTATGTTTAAAAACTTAAAACTTGAATACTTAAAAATTATAGTACTTTAAATAGATGGTAATAGAATAATTTGTAATTTAAATGAATTTTTTCTTTGAGTCATCAAATATGAAACTACTTTTTAAAAACACTTGTTACTAAATGCAAAATTTATTTTGTAGTAAAATGGTAACGAATAATAAAAGAATTGTAAACTAAATGCATATTTAGCGAGAGAATATGTAACAGGGCCTTAAGACACCTTATGTACCGCCTCTAAAAATGATTATAAAAATATTACTGTTATCAATAATATTAGTAATAATTTTCAAAAATTACAAATATGACTGTATTAAAATTAATCTTTTACCAATAAGGAATCTGAAAGTAATAAAAAATTAATTCTATGTACTAAATGCAAATTTAGAAAGATAATTTGGAATAGCACTTAAATGCAGTATCGTGATATTAAATGACCTAAAATGATTTAAAAAATGTTGGTCATTATGTGCCATTACAATGATGCCATTAGTAATTATTTTCGAGAATCATAATTATGAATGTGCCACATCTTTTCGACTCTCATAATTTTGTGACATGAAACAAAAATTAAATAATTAAGCTATTTATTCAGCAAGAATATTTCCATCATAAATAAAGAAGAGGTATTGTTCACCAAAAATAATTATAAAATAGCAATAAAACAAGTACTAATTTACGGAAATTTCATTTTGCTCTTTCAGATCACTTAATAAAGTACCTTTTTTACCCTAACAGTGCTAGGTAATACTGCTATTTCTAGAATGAAATCATTATTTAAACGATTATTGTTATTTCAGATTGATTAACGTTATAAAGATCTTCTGATACAAATTGTATTAGCAGAAAGTTTTGTTCACAATCTTTCAAAGTATGTCTCAGTTTTGACCTCGAGAAATTTCTATTATTTTCTGTTAATCTTAATATTACTTTTTTATTAGTAAAGTTTCTGAGTTTTGAAAAGGTATTAACTTGATTAATTTTACCCATTTTTCCCCTCTTGCATCAAAGCTAGAGCCATACAGTTTCATTTGAACTAATATGAGAATGTTTATTTCGAAATATGAGAATGTTTATTGCGATATGAGAATGTTTATTTCGAAAAGAATAGAAGAGAAATTAAAAGCCAGCTGGTAAGTATCCTACTCACCGATTCCATGACAAAGGAATTGATTGAAAGGCTTGACTTCGTCAAGCCTGTTTTGTCCTTTTTTTTATAATTTCCGAAATCCTAGTGGAGTTCTATTATTGCCCAGTCATTTTAGTTCTTCGGTGTGAAATTATAAAATAAAAAAAGTTTGTTAGTTTTAGACAAGGCCTGATTATCGTGAAGACAGAGACTAACGAGAAATACAAAATATAGGAGCTCCCACCTTTTAATGTTTAAAAAATTTTAATTGTACACTTAAAACTTTATTCAAGTTTGCACTTATTGATTAAACTTTTACACTTCTTGAATCTTTACCCAAATTGTCCAATGTCGCATATGAGCCAATACTTACTTTTGCTACAGTGAAAACATAACTGCAACGCTTTTCAAAACTTTCGGACTCATTCTGATCAGTAGGCAACATGTGAATAGGGGTCATTTTCAAATTGGGGAGACACTTAAAAAATATTTTTAAAAATTTAAAAATATTGTAATTAATAATCGTGAAAATTTCAGCTGCAATTGTAATGTTTCGTGTACATAAAACTCAAAACAACAACGCACGTTTGATTTAGATCATTAAGTAAATAAAAAACTTGAATCTGGATTATTTTTCCTTCTATTACCTGTACTCAAAAAAGTTCAAATAAAAAAACAAGTAATCAGAAACAGAAAACATCTCAGTTTTAGTACTTACATTGTAGTTAAAACCATGTATAGAATGAATTGTATTTTCTATATTATTATTTTTATCAACATAAAAGATAAAAATATTTCCCTTCTGTTACTATTTACGAAACAATTTAAACTTTTAAATTGCGCATTTGTATTTGAATTTGTATATTAAAAAGTTTTCACACAGCTTACTCGCTAGTCAAATTGACACACATTGTAAATCACTAAAAGTGCTTTATTGTTATATTATATAGAGATGTAAAGCATAATAAGTGATAGATAACAGAATAGAAATAGGTTACACCAGGGATGGGCAAACTTTTCTGATCGAGGGCCAAAAATCGAGGAAAAAAAATTTTGGTGGGCTGAATAAAAACATCTAAAATAAAAAAAATACTATATGCAATTTTCAATGTAAATATTTAATGAGATAAATGAAATTGCGATTTCATTTTTAAAAGTTATTATTTTAAAAGTTACCTCATATTAAGGTTCCAAGTGAGATGTACTTATTTTAAGGAACAAGGGTAAATGTTTGCCTGTTATTCTACTTCTGAAATGATTTTTTCTCAGGTTCGTAGATGAAAACACTTGCTCACACATAAATAAAAGGAAGCAAACCTAACCCTGATTTTCTAGGCATGAAGCATTTGGGAAACTAGCTTTTGGTATTGATTTGCAAAACTCAATTTTTGGCACATTTAGAAACAATTGCTTCAGATGGCACCAATCTACGGCTATTCTATAAATATCTTCTGCTCATTTTACCAATTGAAGCTGTCTGTGCTAGCCTCCATCATATGTTTGCCATCCTGCGCATCCTGCGTTGCAAATTACTGAACTTTAGCCATATAAATATTGATACCTACCTATATTTCTTTGAATGATTTTAATATGTAAAAAATTAATAAAAAGTTAAACATTAACTGAATCTGAATCTTGTTTTATTGCCTATGTTCAAAAATGCTTAAATAAGAAAAAATAACTCATCAGAAACAAGTAAATATCATGGTTTGGCACCTTTATTATTGCTACATACATGTAGAATCAATTTTTTTTTATATAATTATTTTTATTATTATTATGATAGAAAAAAAATTCCAGTTTGTTACTATTTACGGAAATAATGTTTTATTTAATCGAGGAATTCCGTATTTCAAGTTAATACTTAAAATTTTTTGCATAATTTAAACTCCAGACAAATTTATACTGTAAATCACTAAAATTGCTTTTTATTAGCTGTTGCCATTAACGTGAATTAGCATTTTTATCTCTACAATAATTGTTCGATAAGTTTTGGCAAGTTACCAGAAACAAAAAATTTCTCAATTTTAACACTTTCATTGTTGTTTTTTAACAATATAAAAGATAAAAATGTTTCCTTTCTGCTATTGTTTACGAAGCAATTTGAACTTTTATTATCTTATATTTCAAGTTATCTAATCTTATATTTAAATTTAGAAAAGTAGCAATACCTTGAAATATTACTTATCTTATATTTCAAGTTATTACTTAAATTTGCTTTTTGCATAACTCACACTCTAGTCGAATTTACACTGTACATAACTAAATTTTTTTTGTTAAATTATTTAAATATTTAACGCTTAATGAATGGTGTGAAAATGTAACAGAATGAAAAACATATTTTAAATAATCTTGCGTTGCAAATTACTGAACTTTAGTCATGAAAATACCTACCTATATACCTTTTAATAAATTTAATATGCAGTTAAATACTAAATCAAAAGTGGTCAATAAATAAAGTTAACATGAACATAGTAGCGTGGTAGAGAAAGACAGATGAAAAAAGGAACTCTAAACATTTATACATACATACATATATTTTTTTTTATACGATTCAAGCTATAAACACAACTTTAAATATTTTCTTCTTCGCGAAATTTGTTAACTATTAAATTATTATTTTATTTTTAACCTTATTTTATTTTGCTACAGGCCGGTAAGTTTGGTTTCTGCTTTATTTTATTTCATACTCTTTCTCAACTGATTTTTTTAGCGATATCGACACATTATAAAGAATAATTTTATCTTAGGATACTTATTCTTTATTCAGAAAGATCACATTAAAATATAGCAAAAGATGAGTCTAGAGGAAAACTTTTGCTTTTTCCCATTAATAGTTTTCTATTTTATATTATTTTATTATTATTTGTGATTAACCACCGAAATTTTTATGATTAATTATTACAGTAATTGCTTAAACAGACGTCATTGCGCATACAGTCTATAACGATGCAAAAACGATTCCCGGATTTGCTCAAAGGTGCTGGGAGTGAATTGATGTAATCCGTTGCAACATCAAAAGTACACCACATGAAATTTATCTTTCAGTTAATAAATTTCTGAACAAAATTTAATTATATCCACTTCAAAATTTGCTTCTCAAAGACGTTTTTTTTTATTTATAATGGCTTAAAAGAACCTAGTTTTTAACTTTTTTTTCTCCAAAAAATTTAGAAAGAAGCGGTTAAACATTCATTATTTTATAAAAGTATTTTTAATATTTTACCAGAGATATTAAATCAATAGTACTGAAAAAGAAATAAAAAATCTTTTCCTTGATTTTAAAAACGGAAACATAAAAATGTGATGACTAAAATAAAATTTTAATACATTTTATCCATGTAATACATTTTATACATTTAATACATTAGTATTGAAAAATAAAAAAGACCCTTTCCTTGATCTTAAAAACGAAAACATAAAAATTTAATGATTTAAATAAAATTTTAATACATTTAATACATTTTAATGAAATTTTAACGTAATTTATATTTGAATTGAGGAAACAAATTTCTGCGAAACATAATTTCTAACAAATTCTTCATTCATATTTTCACATCTGCTGGAACAAAACCTCCCCGTTTTATTTCTTCAAACCTAAAACTAAATTGTTAGAAATATAAATTCAAAAGCATAATTGTTGTATATTAGCACACTTTACAAGTTAAAAGTTTTTTATGAGTATTTTAAAGAACATGTACACTGGAAAAGGGTTAAAATTAAGAAAAAATTTAAAGTCTTATAATCAATTTAAAACAGAGTTATTTAGTCACTACTTTTTTTTCCTCTTCTCTCTCTCTCTCTCTCTCTCTCTCTCTCTCTCTCTCTCTCTCTCTCTTTTATTTTTTATTTTACGTACGCTATACGTGCTTTACATTTGACACTCAAAATAATAACTTTTTCAAATCAATAATCACCGAATTGTTGTCAATATCAGCGATAAATACTGTTAAAACTTCTATTTCTCGAATATCAAGCTCACGCTGCCTCTGAACCATTTTTTGACGGTTATCGGATTAACAAGGCTAGTTAACCTTTCGCTTACGATGTACCATGTCATAAGTAAAAGGTTAAAACTTGATGCCAAATTAATATTTTTCCCAAATTGAGTCTTTTAAGTTTTATTTTGTCAGTATATATCACCCAAATATGTATCAATATATTTATTTTAGTTTTTAAAGCAAAAAATTTTATTCTTTAAAAAACATTAAAAATCATCCATGAAAATAATCAGTTGCATACGAAAATCTATAAAAATTCTCTTTTATAAAAGGGTGAAATCAAATGAATATACCCATAAATATATTGTGTGTGTCATTTCTTCACAAATTTACCAAAAATATAAAGATCACAGTAATGAAAACGAGTAGCGAATAAACTTTTAAGCTCATTTACTCGAAGTCACTTTCCTATTCCATTGATTTCTTCAATTGAGTCCATAGTTCTGCAATTAGATGTTCTTCAATATTTCCATAAGTTCATCAATGAGAGTGACATTATATAATTCGGATTGCTTTTAAATATTATAAAGCATGAATTTAACTAAGTGCTAGAAATTTAACCCGACTCAAATTAATTCTTTGATAGCCCATTTTATTTCTCGAGAAATTTTGAACCAGAGTAAAATTAGGTAAATTAAAATTCTATCAACAACAAAAGAATTATGTTGAAAATTAAAAATGCCTAACACGCAAATTGATATGAAATAGAAAAAAAAATTAAAAAAATCAATGAAAATAAAACATTCTAAAGTTACAAAAAGAGGAAAAATGACAATAAAATCATTAATTTAAAATTATGTAAAAATCTATTTTCAACATAAAAGAAAAACTCATTGGAAAAAAAAAATTTTTTTTAATGGCAGCCACTTGGAATTATTGTCCATTGGCCACAGAAAGTGCCAGAACTGCTAACTCTCTTTTCGTTACCCTGTGGGCACCTGTGGCGGAGCCACGGTGGTGGAGCAGCGTCGCCCACGTCACACTACCACAACCCGTTGTTGAAAAATTTTAATGGCTGTAATAGTCTTCTGTTTATGTCTAAAAATATAAAACAAGCTAGAAATATTAAAAAAATCAGATTTCGGGGGGAAAATTGACGACTGGCAGACAATTTTTAAACCAGTGTTGAATGATGTATTTGCCTATACTGTTTAGCTGCTTATAATCTTTTACCTGGTAATGACTATTCACTAGATTTTATATTTGCAGCTTCACTTTTTTGTTGGCAGCGCGAAAAAGGAACTGCATCGGCTTGGTGACATTTTAAACGTATCAGTACACAAGTGTTGTTTTGAAAATGATTAATCCAATTTGAGCAGAAAAAAAGATATTGTTGGTTGTTAATTGTTTACAACACGAAAGTACAATTTTTAAAAGATATGGGTCATTAATTTTTACCACCGATATTTTGAAATAAAAACGAGAAATAGAAACACTCAAAACTTACCAAGTAGATTATCTGGATATACTCTTTACGATCTGTATTTACTAATCAGGAAGACACTTCTGCTACAATATCAGCAGCCAATTCTAAATTCTGCCTCAACCATTTTTTCCACTTTGAAGTAGATAGGATTTTCGAAACATTAGCTTTGATATACGCCATAGCGCACAACTTTAAATCTTCTTGATTAACCATATCGGCAACAGCAATTACATCGCACACATTTTCATCAGACAAGATGGTCTTCAAGTAAGCAGAACATCCCTCTTTAAGCGGTATAACTTGATACTTATCAGCAATTATCATCAGTTTGATGACATTTTCATGGCTCTTCATTTCAACGGTGTCTGTGTAAATGTATTCTAAAAACAATTTAAGTGTCTCTACATCAACATCTGATAAATAAATAGTACCTGATTGACTCTCCAGCATATCTTGATGAAACATGGCTGAAAAAACGGGTGATCGTGCTGCCAGAAGAGCTTTATGGGCTGGCATAATTACATTTTCTGACTTCAATGTCACATCAGTAAATGTTTCATTCTTTAACAATTTGCATAAGTCATCTTGCAATGGCAAATGAACAAATTTCATTAATTCTTGCGATTTGAAGTCTACATTGCTTTCTTCAGTTTGCGTTGAGATTGAAATTCCTTCTGGATTAAGGGCTTCAGCTGTATTGGCTAGAATTTCATTATTTTCGCTGGAGTGAGCCGAACTCTCAGTTGCATTTAATATGCAAGCAGGTGAATAGCTTACTGTATCGAATCGAACTGAATTTGAAGATTTTGTCTCACATTTTAAATAATATTTGTCATCCATTCTTCCTATACAGAACCTATCACGTCCAACCGATTCGAGATATTGTGTGGGAGTATCCAGCAAAACCTTTGCTACTGCACCATCTGGACAAATTAAAGATATTTTGAAAGATACATAAATTACATCCTGGGCTCTTTTTGTGTAGAATGAAACATACACTTCTCCCTTCTCATTCACCGAGAAATTAATACAGAATCTTGTAGGCGTCGGTACAACCTTTTCTCCTTTCAAAGCTCGTAAATCTTTATACGTGCAAGTAAAAGTATCGACTCCGTGAATGGTGTTGCATTCACAATCAGACTTCGCTTCGTCAGCTCTTTGATTTTCAAGACAACTGTTGAAATTCTCACTGGAGCTATCAACTTTCATTCTCATTAAAACGCAACGAACTATTATAATATCTTCTGGTAAATCTTTCAGATCTCTCTCTAAACCTATATCTTTGAAATATATATATTTATAACAATACCCTTCATCTATAAAAGTCTGAATGTCAGAGGAACGAAAAAGCACACCATTGATGTCATGTAATTCAAATCGGTGACCTATAACATCTTTTCCAACACTTTTGCTTTTAGATATATCATATAACTCCAAAGTATTAGATGTTTCATTTTTGGCATTAAACCAAATTAGTCTACAAGAAGACTCGTTCTGATATCCTATGGGGCAAACATCTACTTTCCACCGTGTTTGGCCTAGACATTCTGCCTGGAATTCTGGACATCCTATGTATCTTCTCTCTCCGAACGAAACATTTTCGATTCTCCACGTAAAAACAAATTCTCTCTTTTCACTGTTCATTTTTTTCTCTTTTTTGGAGTAGCTTAAAAAATATTTAATCTCTATCTCTGCTTTATAAAGTCAAATAATAATGACAAAGAATGCATTACCACTACACTTAGTAATGATATGTTGCTCTTTTATCTATGCTTGCTATGATAAAAACTCCTGGAAACAATCTATTCTATCTAGGGGTGTGCAGAGGGATAGAGAACGGTTGCAAGCAAACGAACGCATCCATATGACTGCTGTGGAATCTAAAATTTTAATTCAATAATTTTTTTTATGAAAATTAAATTTTTCAACTGATAAATATTTGGCTTATGCAAAATAATATATCAAAAATAAACTATATGAGAATATGACAACTAAATATAATATGAAGAATAAATTATGATTCAATAACAAATGGATTCATTAAAATTTATATTTTTAGAAATACTCTTTTGAAAATAATTTCTTCTAAGACACGTATTTAAATTTTTATAAATCTATTTAATTATAAACTTTTTTCTGCTTCTTTTTTTATTTCTTTTCATTGCTCTTTCTATTAATTAGTAATACTTTACTTCATAGGGGCATTTAGTAGAAAATTTAACCTAGAAAAATACATATTTCTGTATGTAACTGATTCTATCCGGCTAGAAAGACTATCTCTCCGAAATTGATGTTGAATGACTAAAAAAAAATGTACGAAGGAACACTTTTTTTCAAGTTAACACCACTTAGAGCCTTCATGCATTACTTAAAGAGTGTAATTTAAATCTGAAAAACGTAGAAGGTTGCGCCATTCACTCCAAACATTAAAGCTTCTGAAAACACTAATATTACCATACTTTTTATATCATCTGTAGAATATTTACAGTCTATTACGAGTGAGATTGAGTTTGTTGCTCATTTGTTACAATGTTGCAATTTCACCAAAAATATTAAATCAATACTGAAAAATAAAAAATAAAAAATATTTTCCTTGATCTGAAAACCGGAAACTTAAAAATGTGATGACTTAAATAAAATTTGAATACATTTAATATATTTTAATGAAATTTTAACGTAATTTATATTTGGAAACTGGATACAAATTTCTGCGAAACATAATTTCTAACAAATTCTTCATTCATATTTTCACATCAGCTGGAGCAAAATTTCCTCGTTTTATTTCTTCATACCTAAAATAAATTATTAAAAATAAAAATTCAAAAGCATAATTGTTGTACATTAGCACAATTTACAACTTAAAAAAGTTTTTTTGAGCAAAATTAAAGACACTTTAAACTGGAAAAGGGTTAAAATTACGAAAAAATTTAAAATTTGTGTGTCATAATCTATTTAAAACAAAGTTATTTAGTCACAAAGTCAACAGCTATATAGTTATTATTTTTCTTTTCCTTTTCTCATTCCCTCTTTTTCTCTCTTCTCCCCTTCTTTTTTTCTTTTTTTTTTTTTTTTTTTTTTTTTTTTTTTTTTTTTTTTTTTTTTTTTNTTTTTTTTTTTTTTTTTTACATATACACTGCATCATTTGACACTCAAAATAGCAACTTTTTTAAATCAATAATCACCGAATTGTCGTCAATATCAGCGATAAATTATGTTAAAACTCGAATATCGAGCTTATCGAATAACTTCCTCGAATATCAAGCTCACGTTGCCTCTTAACCATTTTTTGACGGTTTTCCCGATTAACAAGGCTATTTAACCCTTTGCTTACGGTACACCATGTTTTACCAGTCCTAAGCGAAAGATTAAAATTTGATGCCAAATTCACGTTTTTCTCAAATTGAGTTTTTTAAGTTTATTTTGTCACTATATATATTGCCCAAATACGTATCGACACATTTATTTTAGTTTTTAACACAAAAATTATATTCCTTGAAAAGCATTAAAATCATCCATAAAAATAAGCAGTTGCAACACACAAAAATTGTTAATAATCCTCCTTTATAAGAGAGCTGAAGTCAAATTAATATGCCCCCAAATATATGAGTTACTTCTTCACAAATTTACCAAAAACATAAAGATACAGTAAAGAAAACGAGTAACGTATAAACATTAAAGCTCATTTGCTCAAAGTCACTTTTCTCTTCCATTAAGTTCTTCCAATGCGATCGTTAGAGTGAAATCACATTAATTGGATTGCTTTTAAATATTATAGACCACAAATTTAACTTAGTGCTAGAAATTTAAACGGACTCAAATAAATTCTTTGTTAGCCCAATATATTTCTCGTGAAATTTTGAACCAGAGTAAAATCAAGTAAATTACAAATCTATCAACAATAAAAGAATTATGGTGAAAATTGAAAATGCCTAAAACGCAAATTGACATGAAACAGAAAAAAATTTAAAAAATCAAAGAAAATAATATATTTAAAAGTTACAAAGGGGAAAAAAGATAGATCATTAGAAAATCATTAATTTAAAATTGTGTAAAAATCTATTTTCAACATAGAAAGGAGAAAAATTAAAAACGTTTTAATGGTTGTAATAGTCTATTGTTTGTGTCTAAAAATATCAAAACAAGTTAGAAATAAAAAAAATAAAATTTCGGTGAAAAAATTGACGATTGGCAGACAATTTTTAAACCAGCGTTGAACGATGTTTTTGCCTAGACTGCAGAGTTGGCCAAAAAAGTAATCGATTACATTTTTCGATTACAGTAATCAATTACTTGTAATCATGATTACAATTTAACAAAATTTTGATTACAGCTGTAATCGTGATTACAACAAACAATTATAATAATCAATTACTTGTAATCGATATTACAACTTTGATTACAGCCGTAATCATGATTACATAGTCGATTACAGTAATCGATTATTGTAATCGTGATTACAACCTTCATAAATTTTGATTACAGCGCGAGTACAATATGGATTACATTAATCAATTACTTGTGATCTTGATTACAGCTGTAATCAAAATTTTGATTACAACTGTAATCATGATTCCAAATAATTGCGATTACAAGTAATCATGAAAAAAACGATTACGGGTAAATATGATTACAATTAATCAAAATATATGATTGCATGTAATCATGATTACATGTAATCATGATTACATGTAATCGTAAATACTAGTAATTACGATTAATATGTAAGAATGTTGGTAAAAGTTATAATACGTGTACATAGTTGCGTAAATAAAATGCATACATGTATGCATGTACATTTATATGTACATAGATATATGGTATGTACACGCAACGTATGTACTTATGTACAACTTACGTATGTACTTGTATAACTACATACTTTGTTAATACTTATGCACATGTAATGTATGGATGTACAAAAAAATAGTTATATGCACAATGTACGTATGTACATACAACGTATACAGGTACATAATTACAAGTAATGTATAAATACATGCGTACATTTAAATATATATAATTACAATATACGCATGCATTGTGCATGCATGAAAAAAATTTATATAAGTAAAGTTATCAAAGTTTGTTTTAAAATTTATTTTAAGACATATGAAACTCGACCTCATATTTTATAGAAAGCAAACGATAATCTTATTTCAAATTTCTAAATATTATTTCCACATATAAAATTTACCGTTTTTTCCTTTGCCATTTAAGAAATTTCTATCGACCATGCATTATGTTACAAAAAAAAATCTGTATTGTCAAACATTTCATGAAAATACCTGAAAATAATTATTCAAAAAATTTTAAAATGATATAGAACATTCAAAGCTGAAAACTAAATTTAAATATCGCTTGATTTTGTCATTTAACTAGCTTGAGTCATTATAAGTTAACTCACATGCATTTTATTTATTGCATTGTACACATATTTAGACATAAATGTAATGTACACATGTATACGCGCAATGTATGTACATACATTCATGCATTGTACATGCATCTATAGTACATATGGATATGCATACATGGAACATACGTGCATTGTACAGGTGTGGATACATTCATTGGGCATATATACATTGCACATACGTATTGATTGGGGTAGTATGTATGTACACTTGTAAAATTTGTACAAAAGAATTATGTCCAATATATTTAAGCACATATGTACAGTATATGCACACACATATGTACATTATATGTTTATTACATCGTATGTACGTTATATGAATCTACATCTGTACACTATACGTACAACCATCTGTACAATATATGCATCTCAAATGTGTGTATGTACATACGTTATGCATGTCAAATGTATGTGTGTACATCTGTACAATATATGCATGTCGAATATGTAAAATATAAATACTCCCAATGAAATTAACTAAGTGCTAGAAATTTAGCCCAACTCAAATTAATTCTTCGATAACCCAATTTATTCCTCGTGAAATTTTGAACCAGAGTAAAATTAAGTAAATTATAATTCCATCAACAACAAAAGAATTATGTTGAAAATTAAAAATGAGTAAAAAGCAACTTGACATGAAACAGAAAAGAAATCGAATAAATCCATGAAACTAAAACATTCTAAAGAAAAAAAAGACAATAAAATCATTAATTTAAAATTATATAAAAATATATTTTCAACATGGAAGGAAAACACATTGAAAAATTTTAATGGCTGTAATAGTCTTCTGTTTATGTCTAAAAATTTCAAAACAAGCAGGAAATTTTAAAAAAATCAGATTTCGGTGGAAAAATTGACGATTGGCAGACAATTTTTAAACCAGTGTTGAACGATGTATTCGCCTATACTGTTTAGCTGCTTATAATCTTTCACCTGGTAATGACAATTCACTAGATTTTATATTTACAACTTAATTTTTTTGTTGGCAGCTCGAAAAAGAAACTGCATCGGCTTGGTGACATTTTAAACGTATTAGTACACAAGTGTTGTTTTGAAAATGATTAATCTAATTTGAGCAGAAAAAAAGATATTGTTGGTTGTTAATTGTTGACAACACGAAAGTACAATTTTTAAAAGATATGGGTCATTACTTTTTACCACCGACATTTTCAAATAAAAACGAGAAATAGAAACACTCAAAACTTACCAAATAGATTAGCTGGATATACTCTTTACGATCTGTATTTACTAATCAGGAAGACACTTCTGCTACAATATCAGCAGCCAATTCTAAATTCTGCCTCAACCATTTTTTCCACTTTGAAGTAGATAGGATTTTCGAAACATTAGCTTTGATATACGCCATAGCGCACAACTTTAAATCTTCTTGATTAACCATATCGGCAACAGCAATTACATCGCACACATTTTCATCAGACAAGATGGTCTTCAAGTAAGCAGAACATCCCTCTTTAAGCGGTATAACTTGATACTTATCAGCAATTATCATCAGTTTGATGACATTTTCATGGCCATTCATTTCAACGGTGTCTGTGTAAATGTATTCTAAAAACAATTTGAGTGTCTCTACATCAACATCTGATAAATAAATAGTACCTGATTGACTCTCCAGCATATCTATATGAAGCATGGCTGAAAAAACGGGTGATCGTGCTGCCAGAAGAGCTTTATGGGCTGGCATAATTACATTTTCTGACTTCAATGTCACATCAGTAAATGTTTCATTCTTTAACAATTTGCATAAGTCATCTTGCAATGGCAAATGAACAGATTTCATTAATTCTTGCGATTTGAAGTCTACATTGCTTTCTTCAGTTTGCGTTGAGATTGAAATTCCTTCTGAATTAAGGGCTTCAGCTGCATTGGCTGGAATTTCATTATCTTCGTTGGTGGGAGCAGAAATCTCAGCTGCATTTGATATGCAAGAAGGTGAATAGATTAGGTTATCGAATCTAATTGAATTCGAAGATCTTGTCTCACATTTTAAATAACATTTGTCATCCATTCTTCCTATATAGAACCTTTCCCTTATACCCGATTTGACATAATATAATCGGGGAATCTCCTCCAAAACTAATGCTACTGTACCATCTGGATTAATAAATGATATTGTGCAAGATACAAGAATAACATCTTGGTCATTTTTTATGCAGAATGAAAGATACACTTCTCTATCCCTATTCACCGAGAAATTGACGCCGAATCTTGTAGACGGCGTCGTTACAACCTTTTCTCTATTCAAAGTGCGTAGATCTTTATACATGAAAGTAAAAGTATCGACTCCGTAAATAGTGTTGCATTCGCAATCAGACTTCGCTTCGTCAGCTCTTTGATTTTCAAGACAACTGCTGAAAT